ATGATCAAATTCGTATCAATATCTCAATTTATTCTCAGATATCAGCCGTTACTTTCTGTATCTCTTGCAATAATTGAAATATTTAATTATCAACAAAAACATTAATAAAAATATAACCAACGTTTCTAAATCAGATTAATTTTTAATGGTTATTTTGCAAAATTCAATATGTAAGCTTGCAATTAAATTGGTAGATGTAAGGATAAAAAAAAATACAATAGAACTAATGATAAACTAATAACTGGAGTTTGTTAATTCATAAAATCTAACTAAATTCAGAAAAAAAAAAACATTCTTATAATAATTGATAATGCATCTACATTTAAATTTGAGATTGATTCAAAGAAATAAATATATGAAGAATCTTAGAAAATAAAGAAAATAATAAAAAATCTTCAGATAAACCTAAGAATTTATATTTGATCTATACGAAAACACGGAAATTGATAAAGTAAAGGGCACGCCCGAATATTTTTAATCATTAATCATTTATGATTAACGATGATTAATCGTTTGTATACTTCGAATTCATACATATTTACAAATTTCTGATAATATCTTTCTCCATCAATCGTTTTTAATCCGATGTAGGGCCAAGATCTTTTGCATTTTCGTACTTTTTTTTTGGATCTCTTATTCTTCAATCCAATCCATCTAATCTCTGTTTTCTTCGTTCGATCTTCTCACTGAGTTGCTCTTGTTTTTGCCAATATAAAGACTCAACCGATTCCTGTTTTGTCTGTAATTCAAAGTTTCAATCTTCTTATAGTATAATAGCTAGCAAACTACAACTTGCTCCAGATTCACAGACAGCATCAACCACTTCTTACCATAATACAGCCGGAGCAACAAGAGAGACTTTATGAAATTACACTACTTCATATAAGATTTTACCCTCCTACAATAGCTAGCAAGCCTGCATACTCCAGTACTAATGTGTTTCCTGCTGTTCACCAAGCAACGGGGAAGAAAACCCCAACTGCTCCTGATTCACGGACAGGATAAACCACTTCTTACCTTTATTCACCGGGAGCAAATTTATTAAATAATATAATACTGCAGCTGTCATCGCGACCTACGCAGATAAAAGAAGTGCTTTTCCATGAATGTATTTGAATTACGCATTGTCGTGTATAACGACAATGCGTAATTCAATAGGATATGCTCTTGTTTGCAATCCGAATCGACATTCAACTCAATATAAACTCATTAACAAATATAACCTTATTAATAAAGTGTCAAGAACATTTTTTATAAAAAATTTACACTGCCACAATACTAAATAGCACTACCGTAACTCCGAGTAATAATAATAATGACAAAGAACTTTTAAAGAGTGAAGTATAAGATTCCCATTAAAAATCCAGATTTAGTAATGATTAAATTTTGACATTTTATGAAAATTTTTTCTATTTTTAACATGTGGATGCGTTAAAAAATCATTTATCCGAATTATAAATCAAAATATTTCAGCAGTCGTAGAATTTAACCATGTGAAAATAATGTAAAAACAAGGAAAAAATTAACGGAAAAATATTTAAAACAAACAAATCTCTTACAGGAATTTTTGTTACTTCCAATAATCCAATAATAAAAAAAAAGTTCAATACTATCGGATTTTCAATAAAAATTTCTAGAATTAAGCAGCCAGAAATTAAAGCACACACACACACACGGTTATAAAATAAAGCATACGAGATGTATTTCATATTAGCATACATTTTAAACTATTTAAAATTCAATTATTATATGAAATACTCCCTATATATTTTTAACTGATTTTCTGATTTACTGCAGCATCTGTCCATAAATTCGCAACACTTGCTCTTATAAAAGAAATTAGTCGAATTAGGCCTCTATACAAGTATCTTTAACGTTCAACAGCACGAGAAATTACAAATAATTTGACCTTCAAAGAGAAATCACATGATAAATTGCTCTTCTAAGTTGTCTATTCGAGGTTAAGAATATCATCAGCGTCAGTAATACTTCACGTAATTGAATTTTAAGGCCTATCTATCACTTAACACAGATAAGAAAAGTGTACAGAATTCTTCTCATTATTATGCACAGTAGATGTGTTTATGTATACTTGCTTTAATTACATTATTTTTATGCTTGCACGTGTGTAAAGACACACATCTGGATACAAATATAGGGATTTAAATGTAAGAAAAACCAAGTTTAACTCACTAAACTTTTATGAATCATTCGCAAAATTTACGAGTTCTTCAAGGCTTTTTTTTTAATAGTAATTTCCTAATTTAAATGTATTACAAATTCGAAGAAACTTAACTCCTCGATTAGATTTTAAAATTTCCCTATAAAATAAATAGATTTTATATAAATAAATATAAATTTTCTGCAGTGTTATTGGTCATATTTCATTCCAGAGAGCGTAATATGTAACTGTATAGTCAAATTTTAATCAGTTATTTATATAAAAAATTCGTAGAGCTATCAGAAAACCCAGATTTTTTTGGAATGAATTCTGAATATAATAAATTCTCGTTTTTTAAACGTGTTTATAAGCATTAAATCAACGAATAAAGGGGGTAAATTATTGCTGGATCATGATATAAAACTGTCAAGACGTCCTCCACAGCTAAATTAATATACATATATATATATATATATATTTTCTTTTAAATTAATAATTTAGAAAGAGTAACGAAGAAAAGAAAACAGGAATGGATATTTTAAGACAAAAATATCGAGAGTGATACGTTAAACAAACAAATAAGAAATAATGCTCTTTCACCAATATAATCTATTCACTCACTTTCACTATACAACATTTTCCACCAAGGAATAATTCAGTAGAAAATAGAAATTCTAGTTGATGTAGGTGTTAACATAAGATTTAATTTCACGCATTCACTATAAGCAAACATAAGATGAAAAATAAAAAAAAAATAAAAAAAGATTTGTAAATTATAAACACGTTTAGCTTCAATATATAAACGTGGGATGTTAAAGTATGTAGGCGATGTACCAAGATATGATGGCAGTAACCATGGCAACGTGCTAACGGGATGTTGCTACTGTGCAGGTGATGCTAATACCTTACCTGTACTGGTTCGAGTAATGATATTTTAAATGAAACGCAACAATATATTCCGAGAAATTCCTTAAAATTCCGATAGTAAAATCGATTCCAAATATATATATATATATATTTCTACTGTATTTCCAGCTGTGAAATTCGTTTATCTTCAAGATTCCTGGCTCGAAAACATGGGAAATGCGCAGTTAGAAATTATTATTTATTGAAAGTATAATAAAAAAAAATTAATTAATTTACAAATTAATGCAACGTATCACCTATCACAATCTGCAATACAATAATAGTGTATAACAGTGAGAAAGAAGGTCGTAACTCGAGCGATTGCACAATTATGGTTGTCAACAGTACAAGTCAAGGACATAAAATCCCAAGAGATTAGTAGTTAAAACATTTATTTTCAGACGTCCACTCTTAAATTCCCTTACAGTTTTTGCCTCTTTTTTTTTTTTCTTTAACTTCGTCCCTCCCTTTTTTTTCCTGCCTGTTAAAAATAGGTCAATGTCTTTCTCAACACGTTTCGTACATATTGGTAAAGTGCCATATCTTTAACGTGTTTATACTCTTCACATCATTTAAATGCCAGAACTTCAGCCAACAAGTTATTAAGTCTAGCTCGGTCTGAATGACTCAAGTATTACCTACTTAACAAGCTTAGAAAAATCCCTTCCACTCTTAAATGATAAAACAATCGGCTAAACATAAAATTCCAAAACAAATTATGTAACTGGTAATTAGTAGAAGTAATAAAATAGCTAATTAATCGTTGAAATTTCTACAGAATTTATAAATTGAGTAAATGTAGACATAAATAAAGATTAATTTCCTCAATGATGTAGCTATTTTTCTTTTTTTCTTTAACTATTTCGACTGATTTCTAAGTAAGCCTACGTAAACAGAACTTAGTATAAATGACACGATTGGATGATTTTAGGCAAATTTGATAAATTGTTTACAAGAAAATATAAAACTTACTACTGTAAGGATGAAATATAACCATTCAACCTTTGAACTTTATCATAATAAAGATAGAGTATGTTGTCTATGCAATATAACCCTGTTTACAGATGCCAGTCTACAGAAAAAAAAGAAACTAAAAAGAAAAGAGTTAATTTAAATAATATAACATAAAATTAAATATTTTAAAGACTATAAATGTTTTAGAGATTTTAACTGAAAACAACAACATAAACAAATTACATTTAAAGTAATTTATGCCTCAGAATTGTGTGTATCAAATTACAAATGTATGAATAACAAACATCATGCTATTTCATGAATGAAATCTCAAAATGACACCAAATTTTATAGCTTATTCATATTTTTTTTTCTTTTTTAAAACAACAACTTATACAATAAACTGGCTTAAATATATTTTTAAACATCTTACAAAATCAAATCTTTAATACACAGAAGTCATGTGAGATTTTTTTATTTCTGATGATAAATTCAATGTTAAATTCTGTTAAAATGTATGTAAACAAATGAATGTGTATATAAGCCAAGTTTAAGTTTAGAATAGCTGTTAAAGTTAATCCAAAATATCTTCCCAATCTTAAAAAGAACAGGAATCCATTATATATATTATATAAATGCTGAACTTAGCCAATATATCTATATACTAGCTAAGTTCAGTATTTATTTATATAATATATATATATATACATTGTGTGTGTGATGTGTGTAGAGTATAATGTATGGGGTGTGTGTCTGTAGTGTATACTGTGTGATATGTATGTATTGTATGTGTTGTGTGTGCTACATATATATACACACATAGTTATACAGCTTAATGCTTCATAATCACCGGACTATTACTACAAATTAACAGTGTCTACGAAGCGTATAACGTTACAGAACTTATAAACGAACGTAAACGTGGAATAATAAACAACTAAACTTTAATATGAGGAAAAAAAAGGGTAAAAGAACTCACCAAATAAAATCTTTACAATGGCTGCAAAACGTCGGTTGTTTAAAAAACCTTGGAATAAACTTATGATCTTTAACGAGCGATATATTTTTTTTCTTTAAAGCACCTTTTCTCGCTCTAAATTTTGTCGGAAACGTCGACTGATTTTCGGTATTGACAACCTCTTGCTCGTCGGCCATCTTCCTTTAATCGTTTGACGGCAACTAGTCTCTATACCGTCTGCCAGTCAGCGCTCCTCTCCAAGGCGCAAGCGCTGAGCAAATTATATACATTAAAAAATAAATAAAAAAATAAAAAGAAAAAATAAATTTACGAAAAACTTAGGTGGCGCTCCGAATATTCTTTACAAATTATCGTCTGGCACTTTTTTAACTTTTTCAAAATAATTTAAATAAAATATACCAGAATAGAAATACGTATTATTATTATTATTATATGATTATTTTATAAAATTATTAAATTTTTTTTGTATCATTTTAAAGGATAATTTAGGCTATTTCTGGGCTATATAGTATATTATAATGACGTAACTTCTATGGGCAATATTTAAATTTTTTTGTTGTTGTTATAAACTTAATCGAATCGTAAGTCATCCTACAAAAGTGACTTTTAATCTGACAAAAGATCAAGGAAATACGGAATTTCCTGCGTAACTTCTCCAATCGTACAAAAACTTGTTCTGATTCGAGGTCAAAAGGAAAATTATTCATTAAAATATGACGTCTCTACTTTTCTGAGAAGTGGGCTTCCACTTAATTTAAATTGGCCTTATTAAAAAATAAAATAAATTATCAAAAATACCCAACTGAATAATCACATCTGTATTCAAATTCAATTTAAAATTAACATTTATACCTTAATTGTAATCAAACATCAAGTTACTTTGAATAACTTTTGATATTTTAAATTATTTTGAGTGTATCTATTGAACTTTGCATTAAAATATAAATATTTTATTTATAATATAATTAATTATTTACACAACAAACTAATAACTTCTTAACACATCTTTAAGGAGGTATTAGTTTTATATTAATGTATTTATTGTTGTGTTACAATTAATCTTGTTATGCTTTAAAAAATGTCATCATTTTACAATATTTTATCCTCAAAAAATTTATGTCTGTAAACTTCATTGTGTAAAATGTCATATACATTTTTTTTTTTTTTTTTATAAAACCTGAAATTTTGCATTTGTATCACAGAAGTGGACATTTTCCATTGGTCTGTTCTTGCCATTTACTGCACAAAATGGCTTACTTGAACACTTTTACCCATTTCAAAGTATGAAAGTTATTCTCATCTGTTGTGAAATAACAATCTTCTCATCTCGTGCTTGAGGGGAGAAGCCGCGCTACTGACTTCGGGCTTTACGTTCTGCTTTTGGGCGGCGTCTGCGTTTTCTGACTCGACGGGTGCCTGGTCGACCGCTTTCCCACTTTCCACGATTTGTTTATTCTGTAATTCGTCTTTGCTTGTTTCTACTTCCCTCTTTTTCTTTAATGATTCTTGGTTATTTTTTATTTCTATAATTTTCTCCTCATTGTTTAGTGTTTTGTTTTGAACGTCATCCAAAGACTGCACCCGATCTTGGTCTTTTGGTATCTTGTCGGGTTTCGGAATGTTGTTTTGATTTAAAAATGGAATCGGTTTAGATAAAATGTTTTTTGCATGTTCTATTTCTTTATTATTTTTTAAGATATTTGATTCTTCTGAAATTTTTAAATACTTTTTATTTATTTGCTGAAGTCCGTCTTTTAATACTTGTGCATTTTCATCGAGCAGTTTGCTGGGTTCTTTGGTGTAGGATTGTTGAATGTCATTATTAACAATATACATATTGGGTTGTAAGATTTTCTGTTCCGGTTTTGTTTCGGCATTTGTTTCCAATTGTATTGGCTGTTTTACAAATGATGGTTCTTGCGAACGAGCTACGAGTTCAGGTTTATTTTCCGGTTTGATATCTACTGTTTTAATCATTGGTTCTTTTACAATTATGTTGCGTTTTTGTTCGACATTCTTCTGTTCGGGGAGTGGGTTCTGATTTGGCAGATTTTGCTGTTGTAATTTTACTGACTGTTCTTCTGGACGTTTTAAAGGTTCTTGCAATTTTTCATTAGCCATTGGCTGAATATTTTGTACAAATGATTCTGGAGACACTTTCACCACTTTATTAATATTCTCGGATGGTTGAACTTGTTGCTCTTTTATAACCGGTGCGGGTTCGTTAACTTTAGCCTTTTGTTCGTCGTGAGTTTCTTTATGCATTTTCAATTCTTCTAACAATTTTTTCTGCTCTTCTAGGATCTTTTTCTGTTCAATGTGTTGTGCTTCAAGCTTTTTTAGAAGCTCTTCTTCTTTCTTTAAGTTCTTTTCCTTTTTCTTCTCTTCTTTTTCTTCTTGCTTCTTTTGCGAATTTATCTCTTTATCTTCTTTTTTCAGTGCTTCGGGATCAAGAGCATCTTGAGATTTGAGAGATTTATCCTGAAATGTAAGAATTATACACATCAAACAAAAAGTTTACTTTAAACTTAAATGAATAGAACTTATGCAAGTCAATCAAAAATCAAACAAACTATTTTAAAACCAATAAGTTACCTATAAGTAACGACAAAAATAATAAACTGGGTAACACAATCTAAAAGTGTGACTTCTTTTCACATACTTTTCAAAGCAATATATAATTAACTGCCTTCATTTGATCCCCATATTGAATGTTATATCGGTTACTATAGTAGTGAATGTTATATATTTGAATATAAAGATGTAATGTATACCACCATAGTATAAATAAAGAAATAAATGCAATGGACATTGTTATATCTGTTTAACAATAGACATATAAAATCTTTTTTGCTAGCTTTACAACTTCAAGAGACTAGATAACAAGTATTAACACACAACAAAACCCAAAAATATAGCACAAAAACAAACACTGTAATTTAAAATGAACATTTTTGGTAGCATAAACAACTATTGTATGTAGAACAGATTTTCAAGTTTTTTTGTATACTTTTTTTGTTGTGACAACACACAGTTAATACTTCATCTACCTTACAGATACAATTATGTCTAAGCAAACTATTTTATGAAAAAATTTAGTCAAAAACAGAAAATCTCATTATAAGTTCACATATTCAGTTTATTTTAAGCATCCAAACACATGCTTTCTATATCACGTCTTAAGGAGTATACCGATATACCAAGTACAGAATTTCTGAAAGGCAAATCACATATTTACAAGTCTCATGACTACTTTGGATCTTTGTTCTACAATGTTATAGCAAATGATGTATCTATTATTAATTTATTGTGAAGAAAGTTTATTTGTTTTATCGTAAATGATCATAATTTTCATAATAAAAATGTAAAATAGTTAAATTATATAATCACTCCAATCTATTGCTATATAATTAATAACCAAACACCTTTATCGTTGCCTAGAAAATTTTTAATGTTTTTAATATTGTTATATAATATTTAAAACAACGAAATTTGATAAAAATTAAATATATGAGGGGGTGTTCAAAAAGTATCGGACATTTGGTCGGCAAAAATACATTTATTGATTTTGAAGTAAGAAACCCTAATCCCCTTCAAAGTAGTCTCCTTGGTAATGTATACATTTCTCCCAGCGCTCCTGCCATTGCTGGAAACATTGCTGGAATGCATCTTTTGAAATGGCCATCAGCTGGTCTGTTGCATTCCGCATAATGTCTTCTCTTGACCAAAATCGGATTCCTTTCAGCAGCATTTTCAGCTTGGGAAATAGCCAAAAGTCACACGGAGTCATGTTGGGAGAGTATGGAGCATGACAAACCACAGGAATGTTGTGTTTGGCGATGAAAGTCCAAATCAGATGCGCAGAATGGGCGAGTGCATTATCATGATGGAGCTGCCAAGTTTTGGTTGACCACAGATCCAGTCATTTGCATCGCACACCATCACAAAGATGACAAAGGACCTCCTGGTAGTACTCCTTTGCGATGGTTTGGCCTTGTGCTGCATACTCACAATACACCACCCCATGGGAGTCGAAAAAAACTGTCAACATGACCTTGACATTGCTCCGGACCTGCCACACTTTTTTGGCCTTGAGGATCGTCCCGAAAGCCTGCTGAATCTTGCGAATGATTTCTGCTTGAGTATCACCAAGCTTTTGACAAAATTTGATGCAATATCGCTGTTCACGTTGTTCAGTCATTTTCCAACTTAGTGGAATCCGACAAGCGCTCACTACATGTCCTTACTCATAGGCTGTGCCAGCGACTGACACTTCCTGCAGGCGGGAAAAAATTCAGCACTGTGCATGACTGTCCCCTCCACAACTCCACCGAAAGAGACCTCCCATGCATCATTGGTTTATGCGGGAAAAATAAAGGTCCGATACTTTTTGAACACCCCTCGTAAATTATATATGTATGTATTTAATAAATATGTATTTTAAAAATTATTCTAGAAAGTGATAATTTTCTTTACTTTTAAATATATACTATTTTGAAAAGCCAAATACAGTGGGTGATCGGTTAACGAACAAATCGGATAACGAACATTTTCGCGAAAGATTTTTATGATCGGACAACGAACATATGTTCGGATAATGAGCACTTCACTGAACAAACACAAGAAGCAACGTAAAATAATGAATACCGATTGGTCTTCCTTTGTCTTCAGGCAACAATTCGAAACTTTTCGGAGCGCGGGAGACGTCGACATCGACGTTCTACCCAGTATATACTGATCGGATAGTATTCCCCCGAACTTTGAAACTCTCCCTTGTAATTCCAGCCTTTTGTATTTCTGACAGAAACAATTCTTTTACGTTTTCTTCTGAAAATGCGGATTTATGCCGATATCTGCTATTAAAGATCTTTTGAAGAAGTAGGAGGATGTCAGAACAACGGTCTTAAAATGGCATCCAAACCAAGTTGAGGTTAATAGGCCTAGGGATCTCTACAATTACAATGCTATTAATTACTTCTGAAAAATCATGAATAAGACAGAAAAGCAATCGACATTGGATAGATTCTTTAACCCCCACAAACAGAAAAAACATGACTAATAAAAATGCAAGACCGTGTATATATGTATTTTTATTATTACATATGAATAAACGTAGTAAAAAAGTATATACTTTTTTTATTTTTGGGGGTCTCCAGAACGAATTAATCAAATTCCCATAGAAACCTATGGTAAATCGATAATCGGTTAACGAACAATTCAGATAGCGAACAAAGTCTTGAAACGGATTATGTTCGTTAACCAATCACTCACTGTATTACAACAAAATAATAAATATGAATCATAAAAACATTAAAACCAATAAAAACTGGCTAAAAAAACTTGGTTTTTTTTATTGGTTTATTTTTTTTTTTTTATTGGTTTTTAATGTTTTTATTGGTTTTAATGTTTTTACTTCTTTTATTTGTCAATTTTTTCTATATTTTTAGCAAGGTTTAGTTTTTAATTTTACAGTTTTACCCTACGTTTTTAACACAGTTGTTCCAGTTGTCGCCATTAGTTATATTACAATTTTATCATTATAGATAATAAGGACTAAAGAGGGGCATATGGCCCAAAATGCATTTTTTTTTATAAAAAATAGAAAACAAAATCTACTTTTACCATCAAAAAAATGTTCCAATATGATAAGTTCTCTGTAGCAAATTTGTGCTTAATTCCAAAGAACATACAACCAAAAGAAAGAACAGCAAGCAATCAACTCCTTTAATTCTAATAAAGATGTACTTACAATAAAACCTCCCTAATGAGTACATATTTCAGGAATTCCAAAAGGTGGATCCATTAGGAAATGTAGCCAGTAGGGAGATTGCCTGTTAGTCTTAATGGTTTTACAAAATTAAAAGTACTGTTAATTTACATGATTAAGCAGAAGCTTATTACTGAAAGGTACTCTAACAGTTCAAGCTTCAAGATACCAAAAATGCAACTCTGCCACAACAATAACATTTACAGTACTTTCAGTTTAATTTACTTCAACCAAAATTTCAGCCAATACAAGGTTGTTTAACCTTTATAATCTGCATGCTTGCTGATTATTGACTGAAGTGTACTCATTAGTATTTTCAGCTCAGGCCTTTTTGCCTGGGCTCATACTAGAGATGTATTCAATAGAGTAGTCATTTCCTATTTAAATTAATGAAAAATTTTTGAGGAATTTTCAAGATGAACCTATAAAAGAGGCATAGTTGTTAGAGAAGTGTACTAAGAGTTTTTACTGTAATTATGATTGAGTTTTTCTGTATCATCATCATTTTATTTTCCCTAACAACTTTAATTTGTAATATATTAAAAGATGACAAAGTAATTTAATTATTTTAAAATTTTCTTTATATTATAAATGACAATATATTAAATTAAAATTACACAATTATTATTATTATTCAATATATTAAGAAAAATAACTATACAATTATTGGTTTAACCATGTTCTTCTCGGACTCTTGTGGTATGGGAGGTTCTTGACGTTTGTTCTCGCTTGATGCTAAATGAAAACAAAATTAAATTTATATAATTAATATATATACACATAAATTAATAAATATAATTTAAATATATAAGTATTATAAACAATGTAATCAAAGCCTGAATTAATCAATCACAAATTTAAATAATTTGATTGAATTTAATCTAACTTTTAATTAATCAAATATCCTAATTTGGTCTGAAGATAATCATTATGCCTCCAGCTTACATTAAGAGTAACCATTAGAAATTAATTTTTAATTTGAAGTAAAAATAATTAAGAAAATTCTGAAATAAAAGACCGACCTGCATCTATAGTTTCTACTTACTATGCAGATGCATTACTAGTTATGCTAACTGGACCTCCATCCAATATTCACTTTCAAACATAGAATATATTAATTTAAACTATCTTAAAGGTTAATTGGCTACTTTTAGGCCAAATTATGCCAATAAGGTATACAACAAACCAATTCAATTATTGCCAAATGATCTTCTGGATTATTTATTATCCCAAATCTGCATGGTAAGCAGAACTGCAGATTCAAGTCCTGCTCTGGGACAGACTTTTCCTCCAGAATATTCTAAATTTATATTTGTTATACAAATATTTTAATAAACTTGTTAACTTGTTTACATAATTTTCATTTTTAGCCAAGCCAAAGACATTAAAAGAAATGGATAGGAAAATTACCTTACTTTCAAATATATTTATCAGAAATTTTTAAAATTATTTAATATAATAGTATCTATTTTTAGTTTATCCATTGATGTATTTTGTATTTAATATTAACATAGTTTTTCTGTAAACTTAGTTCTTTAAATCTGATTGATTTTTAACCAAATGTTAGTATAATCTATTAAGAATTATATTTTATACATTTTGATATAATTCAAAATGTACAGTCTGCATTAACAAACTCATTATATTTAACTATAATTGATTTTATGTAGAAAAATGATACTGAAGTCACAAAATTAAAGAACATAATACTGTTACAAGTCAGACAATGCTGAATACCATTATATGTACTTAACCTTTTCAGCTCCTTCACACTGACCGAGCATTCTCATCACTAAAATAACCAAATTTGTTCCTCCTTACTCAATGCCATGCTTCAGCTTTAAAAGAATAAACAAAGATCAACATAATTCCTATGGGGCCAAACTTAGACACCAGTATACTGTGAAGTTATATAGTAGAAAAACATGATGGCCAGATAGACAAAATGATAAAAGTGTCGGCCTACACTCTGAAGACATGACTCTGATACAAGATAGAATTTCATAAATTTTCATAGGTGGTTTGATCTGGATAGGTTGAGCCCTATCTCCTGATACCCAGTGTCCCAACGTGAGCATTGCCAAACTTATAATGGGCATACAAAGAAGGGCCTTTTATTGTGTACAGAGAAAGAAAAAGTTTCATATATATTTGTTATTTTATAGTTTTCTTCTTATAATCAATAAAAATAAAATGCTAAATTACCTTTATCTTTTTTTTCTTCTTTTACATTTTGTGCAACTTCTTTCACTATTTGTTTCGAATCAATCGTTTCTTGATTTTTAACTTCTTTATCTAACTTATTAATTTAAAATTAACAATATATAATATTTTAAATAATTTAAATTTTAACTTTAAATACCTTTATTTAAAGAATCAAACATTTTATTTTCAATCGGTTTTGTGTCTTTTCCTATTTCTTCATTTTCAATCTTTGGCTTTAATTGAGAAGCAACTTCCTGAGTTTTATTTTCATTGAGTGTCGAAAACGTACAGGCAATCAATATAAAAAAGCCAATAAAGGTGACAAGCTGTTTAATTTAAAACAAACAAGTTTTAAACATATAAAAAAAAAAATACCTATTTCAATATAGTAATTTGTATTTCATAGCGTATGAAGCAAACATTATTATTTCATATCAAAGTATAATTTTACAAAATTTGTATAAGTGTGAGATGCTAATTTCTTTCACAATACATTAGTCAATACATGATAAGTATGAGGAATTACAGCTTGGTGTGGTAAATATCGTAATATCAAAATAATAAATTAAAAAAGGCCTACATAATGATGAGGAAGGTGTGACGACCATCAATGTAGGGTACATCAAAGAAGGATTTCCAAGCTGGTGAAATTGTGTGTGTCATTGTCACATCTTACTCAAAAATGCAAAAGGTCCTACTGATAAAAACATTTTCCTAGAGTATATTCTATTCCTATAGTAGCTAACAGATTCATGAAAAAAGGGCATCTATAGGTACCACTACATGCTCATTAAACTTTTTGCTCAAACAGCATATGAATTCAATTAAAAAGGATCTACTGACCACCATACAAGCAGCCTTCACCACAAAGAATGATGTTCATGTCACCCTTAAGAAGCACACATCTTATATACAGCTTGGAATATGACCCATCTTAAAACATCTTGAAAAACTAGATATATATACAAAGCAACTGCCATCAATTTCAAAGACAGAGATAATTTTGCAGTCTTGGAAGTCCTTTTTTTGAGGTTAACTGATGGACATCACCTTCCCATCTTTACATAGATGTTGTTTTAATTATTTTAATACATATGTCCTCTGACACACGGTCCCAACAAATAAAACTGATGTTTTGTCATTTTGAAATCCGACAATGACCAACGAAAATGATCAAAAATGTTCATTTAGTTATTAAAATATTCTTTTGATGCTGGATATTCTGGTCTTTTGACATGCTTGTATGTTTATGCATCCAGTTTTAAGAGTTGTGTATTAATTTTATATGAACAATTATTAATCATAAATTATTACATGCATTCTACTTACTTTATTAATTGGAATTCTTAATAAATTATTAAATATACAATCTTTTTTGCTATAAATTGGAAAAAAAAGAATTTTATTTTGAGAACTTATTACTTTATGCTCTTTGTTTAATTTCTTAAAATAAATTCAAACACAGTACTAAGAAAATTTTAATGAAAAATAAGACTTTGATATAAATGCTTCTATTTGTAATTGGAATTACTTTTAAATAAATAATGTTGTATTTGTCTGAATGGTCAAGATACAGTAGAACCTCGAAAACTCGGCCTAATGTGGACCGAAGGGTGGCCGAGTTTGTGAAAATGCTGGGTTATCGGGAATGGGGTTAAAAAAAATAAGTACGAGTGTTTCCTCAGAAAATACTGTACTGTACTTGTATGTATTGTTTACTTGAGAATATAACAGAGAATAAACTGCCCAAATACCCTTAAACAAAGGAAAAGTACG